CCGCTGAGCTAAACCCCCAGCCCCTTTTCTGAGTTCTTTATATATTCTAGATATTATTCCTCAGTCTGAGGAATAGCTGGCCACACTTTTTCCCCATTCTGTAGGTTCTCTCTGCACTCTGTTGGTTCTTCTAGTCACTGTGCAGAACCTTTTGAATTTGATGTTATTCCCTTCATTGATTCTTGATGTTATATCTTGTGCAACTGGGATTCTGTTTAAAGTCCTTGCCTATGCCTATGTCTTTGAAATTTTGACATATTTTGTCTTCCAGCTGATTAAGTAATTATGTCTTATTATTTAGGTCTTGGACCCATTTTAATTTTAGCTTAGTACATGGAAGAGATATGGGCCTAGATCCAGTCTTTTGCATATGTATGCTGGTTTGCACAGCACCATTTATTAAAGAGACTATCTTCCCTCCAGCCTGTGGGCCCTTGTCAAAGATCAGATGGCTGAATGTGCCAGAAATTGTTCCTGCATCCTCTATTCTGTTCCACTGATCTATAGTCTGTTTTTGTTCCAGTACCATGCTGTTTTTATCACTATAGCTTTGTAGTATAACTTGAAATCTGGAGTTGCTTTGCTCATCAGGAGTTGCTTTGCTCATCAGGAGTTGCTTTGCTCTTGTTGCCCAGGATTGTTTTTGCTATTCTGGGTCTCTTCTGATTCCATATAAATCTTAGGATAGTTTTCTCTAGTTCTGTGAGGAATGCTGTTGGTATTTTGATTAGGACTGTATTAAATCTATCAGTATCGGTAGCATAGCTGTTTTAACAATATTCATTCTGCCTATCCAAGAATTGGGATTGTCTTCCATTTTCTGGTGTTCTTTTTGATTTCCTTTTTCAGAGTACCGTATTTTTCACGGTAGAGTTCTTTTACTTCCTTGGTTAGATTAATTTTTTAAGTATATCATTTTTCTTGGTGATATTTATAAAGAGTAGTTTTCCTAATTTCTTTTTTGGTGAGTTCATTATTGGTGTACAGGAATGCTATTGGTTTTTGTGTGTTGATTTCATATCCTGCTACACTACTGAATTTGGTTATTAATTCTAGGAGTCTTTTGGTAAAATTTTTTGGATCTTTTGTATAGAGGATCATGTCATCTGCAAATAATGATAATTTGATTTCTTCTTTTCCTATATATGTCCCTTTTATTTCTTTTTCTTATCTATCACTCAAAAGTTTGAAGTACCACAATAAACAGGAGTGGTGGTGGTGGACATCCTTGTCTTCTTTCTGATTTTAGATGAAAAGCTGCCCATTTTTCTCATTAACATGATATTTTCAGTAGGTTTGCCATAAATTATTTTTATCAGATTGTGATAAGGTTCTTCTATAGCTATTTTTTTCAGGGTTTTTTTTTTATCACAAATGGATATTGGATTTTGTCAAAGACTTTTTCTGCATCTCTTGAGACGGTCGTGTGATTTTTACCCTTGTTTATGCTTATGTGATGAATTACATTTATTGATTTACATATATTGAACCATCCTGTAGCCCTAGGATGAAGCTTACTTGGTCATAGTATATGATCTTAATGACCATAAGATCATGACAAATGACAAACTATGGTTAATGATTTGTTGCATTCCATTTACCAGTATCTTGTTGAGGACTTTTGTATCTATGTTCATTAAAGAGATTGGCCAGTAGTTTTCTTGTTTAGTTGAGTTCTTCTCTGATTTTGGAATCAGGAATCTCTTTCAATTTCACTGAGGTTTGAGGAGTATTACCGTTAGATCTTCCATGAAATTCTTATGGAATTCAGGGGTGAATCTATCAAATCTTGGGCTTCTCTTAGCTTGTAGTTTTTTTTTTTTTAATTATTACTTAGTAAATTATTACTGCCTCAATTTCACTGCCTGTTATTTTCTTGTTCATGGTTTTTATATCTTCTTGGTTCAGTTTGGATAATTCATATGTATCTGGGAATCTATCTATTTCTTCTTGATTCTCCAGTTTATTGGACTACTGGTTTTTGAAGTAGATACTAATAATATTCTGGATTTCAGTGGTGCTTGTTTTGATTTTTACCTTTTTTTGTTTCTCATTGCAATCAGTTGGGTCTTTTCTTTCCTTCTTTTGGTAAGACTGGCTAAGAGTTTGTCTATCTTGTTTTTTTTTTTTAAGAACCAGCTCTTCAATTCATTGATACTTTGATTTGTTTCTTTTGTCTGAATTTCATTAATTTCTGCTATAATCTTCATAATTTTCTACTTGTACTAGCTTTGTATGTGGCTTGTTCTTGTCTTTCTAGGACCTTGGGGTGCATCATTAGGTTATTTATTTGAGCTCATTCTGTTTTTCCGATGTGGGCATTCATGCTATAGATTTCTCTCTTAGGGCTGCTTTCACTGTGTCTCATAAGTTCTGGTATGTTTTACTGACATTATTGTTTGATTTGAGAAACTGTCTAACTTCTTCCTTGATTTTTTTCTGTGATTCATTGATTATTCAAGAGTATATTGTTAGCTGGGCATGGTGGGTGGCACATGCCTATAATCCCAGCACTCAGGAGGCTGAGGCAGGAGGATCATTGTGAGTTCGAGACCAGCTTAGACTAGAAAGTGGGCTCAAGGCCAGCCTGAACTGCATAGCGAGACCATGTCTCAAAAAAAAAGAGTATATGGTTTGTGGTTTCTTTGGTCATTGATTTCTAGTGTGATTGCACTGTGATCTGATAACATGCATGAGATGATTTTGAGTGTTTTGTATTTATTTAAGCACGCTTTATGGATTACTATGTGGTCCAACAGAAACTTCCTTGTGTTGCTGAGAAGAATGTGTAATCTGTTGTCGGGTGGAACACTGTCAATACACATTAAGTCCATTTGTTTGAAGGTATGGTTCAACTCTGATATTTCTTTTCTTTCTTTATTTATTTATTTATTTATTTATTTTTTTGGTTTTTTGGTTTTTTTCTGGTACCAGGAATCGAACTCACAACCTCGCACTTGCCAGGCAGGTGCTGTGCCGCTGAACTAAATCTCCAGCGCCAACTCTGATATTTCTTTGTTGATTTTTTTTGTCCACTTGTGATAGGTTGGTATTGAGGTTTCCTGCTATAATTGTGCTGATGTTGTCTGGTCTTTTATGTCCAGTAAAGTTTGTTTCATAAGGTTGGGTATGGTAGTATTCGGTGCATATATATTTACAAATTGTTATAACTTCCTATTTAATACTTCCCTTAACCAATATTTAGTGACCTTCTTTGCCTCTTCTGATCAGTTTTGGCTTGAAGTCTTTGTCTGAGAATAGGATAGCTACACCAGCTGACTTTGGGGCTCCTATTACATGGAATATTGTTTTCCATCCTCTGATTAAATGTGTTTCTTTTATTCTGCTCCTAAATTCTTGTTTGTGCAGCTTATAAATGACAGTGACCTTGTATGTCAAATTCCAGCAGAGTGAATGGACCCTTCGAGCCAATCACAATGCAACCCTCTTTCCCTGAAAATGAGACCTAGCCAGAAAATAATCAACCTTGAAAGCTAGAGATTAAAAATTCTAGCCCTTAGTCAGGCATGATGGTGCACACCTGTAATCCCAGCACGCAGGAGGCTGAGGCAGAAGGATCACTGTGAGTCTGAGGCTAGCCTGTGCTACATAGTGAGTTCAGGGTGCTCCATAGTAAAACCCTGGCTCAAAAGACCAAAAAAAAAAAAAAAA